TTTTTGAAAATATACGCAATGGCACTTTACAATAATTTTCTAATTCACAGGATCTCGATGTTAACCGCGGCAATTCTTTATTTTCAATTATTGACCTAATATTTATGCGTACGTATAGGTTTACAAGCGTATACGTATAGTTGCGTTTCTCGCCGCGAACCACGTGTATAATGGCACGGAAAACTCAGCGCATATTATAATATACAAGCGTGCGCGCGCGCCGAGCAAATGTTACTACGCGGAAATGTTAATTAAGTGCTCGCTCGAGCTCGCGACGAGCTCCACGAGAGCAGTCTTTTCTCCCTGCGCGCCTATATATATGTACGTGAAATTCAATCTTCCGCTTGAGTTGCATATACACGCATGTATGCACGCATAAGCGCACACATGCGAGTGTATGTGTGTATTTATCCTTCGCTATATATAATATATCCACGCACACCTCATTAAAATAACCACGAAATTCTTCAAATACACTCCACCACCCACACGCGATAAAGCTTGGGCGCGAGCGAAGAGCGCAAATACTCTTTTGTACGCGGAGGCATAGATTGAAAATTCTCGAAATAATGCGAGAAGCCAGTGTGACCTCTGAGAACAAAAAAACGAAGAAAAAAGTCTCCGCGTGTGCGCGGGAAAAATAAAGAGAAAAAAATGCAAAGATAACATGCCTGAAGAATACCACACCTCGCTCATTTTTCCCTTTTTCCCTCCTCCCTGTCCGAGAGTGTGTACTGTCTGTGACTCTAAATCCATCGGAACAATTAACGACCGAGCCAGCATCGCTCGTGTACACACTCGTGCGTGTCTTTAACGAAATTTACAACGCCGATTTAACCCCCTTTTACAAAAAAGTATCCTGTTTACGTATTACACGAATGACTATAACTAAAAATCTACCAGTGGTACAATAATTTTCGATATAGACAAACAGAGAACTGGGATAGCAAAAAATAATCAACTTATTCGGGAACTCAACGACATGAGTTGTGAAGTTTTTTTGACTAAGTGATTGTCATTTATTTTTATTATTATAATGCTACTTTTTTGTTATAGTACCTCCGTGCAGGCATCTTCATTCTCATTCGACTGATTTAGATTTAATAATTTAAGTATTAAATCTTTCGAAGCGAATTTATCCATACAACCAAAGATGCCATGTTGAACAAGCGGCTGTGCAGGTGTATCCGCACGCTACCGCATCGTTTTATTTCAAAAGGGTGTGAAATACGATAATGTTACGACGTGCACATCGAAGCACATGCACGCATTATCGTGGTTTGGCGCCTGGAAGAACTGCGAGAGGAAAATAGCTTCTTATAAAAATCACGAAAACATGCGCGTACAAGCGCGCACGTTAGCGTAAACGCGATATTATATTCTGTAATTTTTAACGTGAATTTTTTTTTATTCTAAATTTTTTTGAATTATGAGATATTTCAATTCGAGTTAATGACTTCTTTCTAGTAATATGAGCTCGAACAAGTTTCAGACTTTTGATAAAGATAAATTTTAGTTTTTGAAATACGCTAAACGCATGTTGTTGTAAGTCTTTTTTCAAAAGTGGAAAAACCTCATGCTGATCGAGTAAAACATCAAATGGTACCTAAATTATCGCTATCGATGGCACATGTCTAAAATCTTGAAAATCACAAGAGAAAATTTAAAGTGATTCAACAAATAATTTCAAAAATATTATATCAATATGTAATTTTAAATTCATTTTTTTTCTATATCATATTATATTCAGAACGATGTAACACAAGTATGCACAAGCTTTTCGTGTATTTACCGGATCCGAGGCTCTGATAAAAGCGTGCGTATATATAAATGAACGCTGCGCATATATAAATGCACTCGACCCATAAACTTATCAAAGTCAGGGCGCGTCGCGTGGCGTTTTCTGTGCGCTACGTAATGTCCGCAAAAACTATCTTATACGCCTAGAAAACTAATCACGAGTGCAGCAGTAGCTCGAATATAATTAAAATATAACACATATAGCGCAAGCACGACGAGGCGCAAGAAAGACGTTATCAATTATTCGCTCCGCGTATCATAATGTACCGCGCGCGCCAGCGCGTGTATCAGTTACGCCGCGTAAATTATATTTCTGGCAGATCGCAGCCCATGCTGCGGTGCGGCGGCCGTTTGTCACACTTTCGCGCGTACTCGCGAGCTCGGGCTCTCATAAATTTTCACCCGAAGTGGCGAATTATTACGGAAAAATTTAGTGGGCGTAAAAATAAAATACAATGATATTCGAAATTTGTACTTTACGCATCGAGATCGCAGCGGGCGGTGGCGCGGCCGGTTGGTCGGCCGTGGTAGTGTGGCGCGCGCAACACAGCCGATCGTGTTCCGCGTATGATAAGTGTACGATGCATATGCATCGACTGCACAATATGTTGCAGCGCGCCGTATGTTGCCCGTGCCAAAGGGAAGAATTATAAGCTTGCGTATTATGGATATTGTTGTTAACTGACCTATTTCCCATTGGCGAATATTACGCATATAATCATTTATTTTACATATTATACGCATATTATATACGGCACGTCTCATTTTTGTTCGATATTAAGCCTCGTTGAAGCGCCCGAAACGTAACGTTAATTTGAATGAGCGCGACGCCTTTTCAATTTATCAAAATTATCCAATCAGGCGCGGCCAGGACGCGCGTATTACCACTTCGTGGCGTTCCTCTCCTTCTTCCTTTTATTTTTTATTTTTTTTTTTGCGCTCGCGCATATTCGTGCGTCTAAATAATTCGTTCATAAATCAGTGCAAGCTCAAACGCTTTCGAAATACGCGCGTCCATTGAATGCGGCGGGGGAAAAAAAGAATAAAAATAAATAAGCCTCGAGTAAGACTGGGCCGCTACAATATAACACGAAGCTGCCTGCGAGCAATAATTCGTCGTCCTCGTATTTATTTGTATGTATATGACCCAAAGAACGCGCGTATACGAGTCTTAAAGGCTTAGACGCGAGCGTATGTATTGTCGTCCGGGATGAATCTTGAATCGAATTTACACGCTGCTGCAAATTATTGAATACACACTGCACAGACATGCGCGCAACAGGTGTGACAAGAGATAAAAAGAGAGAGAGAGAAAAAGAGACATTAGAATAGCTGCATTTGAAAATGCACTCGGAGCGCCGTAGGTGGTGCTAATCGTTCTGACTCTTAAAGCAGTTGATAATTGAAAAATGTTTGGCATCGCGGCTATTATATATAAACACACTCACGCACACACGTTGAGAAACTGAATCATTGATCAAACACAGAAGAGGCCACATACATTTGTATACATACACACGCGTGCACATAAGTATGTCTGTCTGTGTGCGCTGTGGCTGCGCGCGCGATTCGTGCGAAATTTCAATCTTGTTGGTCGTTTTATCCGCTGAGAAAAACGATAAACCTTTTTATAAACGAGGGGGATCGAAGAGGAGAGCCCAGCGCTATACATTGCATCGAGCACAACACACCACGGCCAAGAGAGAGAGAGAGAATACACGGAGAGGCAACCACACCCGCGCATTTAAACGGCTGTTGCCTCCGAAAAAACGATTAATAATGCGCACCAGCGCAGAGAGAAAGACAGAGCAACACGGCCACGAACGGGAGAGTGTGACCCTGATGCTCTTCTTAAAATATCTCTCCGCAGCAGCAGCAGCAGCTACAGCGGTGAGACCGTGCAACGAGCCGAGCGCGCAGCAAGAGCAGAACACCCACCTGGAATTTGGTGCTCTTCAAGAGTGTAAATACGCGCGCGCGCGCGAGAGAGAGAGAGAGCTCGGGAAAGAGTGAGAGAGAGAGAGAAGACACAGAGAGCAGCAGAAAGAAAAGAAAATAAAAGGAGATATATAAGAGATCCCTGCTACGAGATGAACAGTGTGCGTATAGAGTGGCGAAATGCACAAAAGGACATAAGGCAGGATAAGATATGGGACTCAGAAGACTTTGGAACGAGCAAGAGAGAGAGAGAGAGAGAGAGAGAAAAATGCGAGAGGGAGGGAGAAAGAGGTAGTTGATTAAAAATGAGAGAGAGATAAAAGACAAGCTGCTCGCGTTCTGAGGCTCTTTATGTGTTTGCGTATTTGTGTGTTGTGTGCGAAAAAGGATGAATTTTATCATGTTAAGATGTAATGGAATTCGAGTATGTATACCAATACAGATCGACTCTCGTGGGGATCGGGCTCTCGAGAAACAACGAAAAAAGCGCAGTGATGCCCGATAGACCAAGATGCGTTGATTGTATGAGAAATTTCGTTGTTATTCAATACGTCCTCTATCTGTGGACTTGAAAAATTGAAATAATAAAAATGATAATCGTTCGTTACAAGGTGGTACATTTTAGCGATATGCCACACGTATTATATTATATTATATATACAGCGCGAGGCCCCGATATATCGCGACGGGCCGCGCGCGATCATCGGGGCACACACTCTATATAATGCATGGAACAAACGAGCGGAATACGAACACGTTCGAGAGTCGCGCGAGCGAGCGATCGTTTGCATTTATAATACTCGACTGTATACACGTTTTGATTAATGAAGTGCTTGGCGTATATATTCTGCCGATGCCGATTTTTTTTCTCTCGTACGGCTGCGGTATGGTTTTTTCGGTTGCTGCAGTCCGCGAGAGGAGATTCCTATCGCTCGGTGTATAATGATATAGTTAACCGGAGTTTCGAGTGTGATGTTGTTTTTTTCGCGAGTGGAAATTCGGACGTGAAAAATTTGACGAATAAATTTTGCTGCGCGATCGCACACAAAGAGCGTGTGTGGCTATCCGGAGAGATCTGCGGGCTTAATTAAAACTCATTGTTTCGAGTAATTTGTTTCGAAAAGAATTCAATAATATATATTACGTACGTTGCACTTGGTAAATCGCTCGTAATTGATTTCATGCAAACTCCAAAACAGTTCTTTCCGCAACATAGTATTCAAAAGAAAATAGTAGAAAAATAAAAAGAGAAGAGTACTCACCATGAAAACCATGAACCTTGATTGCAGGTTGGCGGCGCCGTGGAGGTAAGTCAGGGTAGTGTCGAGCCACCGCTTGCGCCCGACGCCTGCGGCGCTCCTCGACTCGCGCTGAATTTCTGCTGCTTGTTCGTGGGCTCGCGCGCGATGCTGATAACGTAGGCGACGACGCAGCAGGTCGCGCGCCACTGTCACTGAGTACCGAGCCGCTTTGCGAGAGCAGCTTTCGCGAAAACGTCGAAATCACCTCGCACACGCGGCGTCGCGTCTTGTCCCGGCGATATACTTTATTTAATTTTTTTTCGTAAACAACCGCTTGATTATTTATTATTTAGAAAACCCAGAAACGCGCGTGTGATTACGTATCATTCGACGACGAGACGACGAGCGCTGAATCGTACAGGTGCTTCGTCAGAATCGATGGTGGTTGAAGGCGTCGTCTTGATCTTTGATATTGACGGGCATTTAATTGGCATAATCCACAGCAGCGTAACGATTATCCTGCGCGCACGCGCTCGGCACCACTGACCCGCACACCACACCACCACTGAGTTTTCACCGAAATGCCCGTAGCCGGCCGCACACAGACAACTGCTGCCGCTGCAAAAGAAGAACAGAGAAAAATATTGCATTAGACAACTTAAATGGCAAGTGCGTATTTTTAAATAATCCCGACGATAAATTATGTGCAATAAAGCCTAAGTGTGTAGTAATACGCACGCGCGGCGCCTTTCGCAACAACACACGCGCAAACACACACTTGCACACACGTGTGCGAGCGTCGCTCGCAGTGTAAAATTGTCGAATCGAACACCTAATTATCCGCATAAATATCGTAGCGATCGTTAAAAGTCGGCGTTAAGGAGCAGTCGCAAGGACAATAATTCAAGCCTACGAGACTACGATTATAGACGCGCCTCTCCCCTTCCTCGATCGCAGCGCACATCTCGCCAAAGCGCAGAGAGCTGGCTTTATTGCAAATGAGATGTAAATGAACTCTCTCTCTCTCTCTCTCTCTCGGGGTATCACCGCGTCCATAAGTGCATTAATGCCAACATTCCTCGAGTAATAAGGATGACAGTGATTACGGAGATGCATCATCACGATAATCATCACAATCGTGTGGGTTATTCATTAGTTTATATTGCCTTATACATGTGCGCGTGCGTGTCTGCGTGTGCGTACACGCGTGCACTTTCCAATCGACACCTCTTTTTTTGCCGATATATACCGCTCGATGTGTGTAACTATCCACGCCCGATTCGATTGCGCCGAGCTGCAAGCTGCTCATCGCTAATGTATACTACTACTCGGAGGATCGTCAATGCGCGAGCTCGCGAGCGAACATGTAATTTACAGTGTCTTGTATAGCATTTGTGTAAATGTGCGCCGACGAGCGCAGTGTGTCGGATCGAGTCGAGGCGCGCGAAATCGAGTATAAATCGCGTATAGTAGTAGAGAGTACAGTGCGGCGACCAGTAGCCATAAGAGCTCTAACTGCGGTACATATTTCGCAATCGTCGTTCCAAGTTCCTCGAGTTGAGACAGATTCTGCAATTAGGTGGAGTTACGCTCGAATTGCATATATATATATGTGTGTGTGTGTATGTGTACGAGCTAGCGAGTAGTGTATAAGAGAAAATGAATAGCGACCTTAATTCACCTCTCCCTGTCTCGGGCCGCCTCGACCCGCAAGAGAGCCGCCGCCGCGACTCTGATACAAAATGATTGTTAATGCGAATTTAATGAGCAGGTGATCGAATTTACTTTTTTCAATGATCAGCTTTATGGAAATCGGAGGAAAAGCCAAGATCGGGTTGTATACGGACCATGTGCTGCTCTATGTAGGGGCCTATACGGCAAGACATCGACGCGCGTTCGACTCTCAGGTGTACGATTAAAATTGCTCCTTGGTCTTACGCAATGCTCATATACACACACGCATATACTCGTTATACTATGTATGCGTTTATTCTTTGAAAAATAACGTATAAGCGCATATTTATAGAAAAACGTTTATCGGTGCAAAAATTAAGTCTATCGTACGGTATTATTTTTCTCGCGCGCGCCAAACGATATTTAAAAACAGAGATTGAGTTTAATCTTTGCGCGTTATATCATGTGTGTGCAGCGGATTGCGAGGCAAGATGATGATTCCGCAGCATCTTTTTATTTCAATCAGAAGAAGATCGCATCATATACATATATGAAGACGTCATCGCGAGCTCGACCGTTGATCGAGGTGGCAACTTAGCTTGTACACAAGATATACAAAAGAAATTTATATCGAGCTGTCTTTTTTTGTTTTTAATAAAAATTCGAACTCATCTGGCAGGACTCGCGAAGGTGACACCTTTGACACATTCGTTCCACAGCATCTCGTACGCATATACTTTCAACGGCGCATACAAATCAAACCGAGGCGCTGGCTCAGACACAAAAGAAAAGCCGATGCGCGAACAGGCAGACTTTATGGGCGCGGTTACGTAGTCACGCAGCAGTCGTCGATCGTCTCTGCACTCGGAGCAATCGATCGATTGGCGCTAATGAGCCGCGTGCCATGCATCACAGATGCATTATACACAACGCGAGTATTCACTGGAGTCAGAGAGAGAGAGAGACTATTGCATCGCTTGTAAAGACGAAGAAGATACTATTCCGCGTGCATATAAATGCAACTCCCTTTTTTATATCTTCTTGTTGTTCTTCTTTTTTTTACGACCGTCGGAGCCACAGTTGTTTGCAGCTCTTGAAATAGCTGTTTGCTTTTTCGCGCGCTCGCGAGGTATAAAAGAGAGGTGTGGGATCGCGAATGTATATTATAATGCGCCACGCGAAAAATCAACAACCATAGCAAAGCTATCATCCTAAGGAGCGAGATAGAAAAACAGAGAGAGAAAGAGAGAGACGTTGCCGTGTTGCCACAGTCCTATAAGTTTCATCATGAAGAATGATAATGGCTTGGGATGTAATTTAACGCGAAGAAGCTATACCCATAATAATATCGACATTTATCGCGACTATTAAGCCAGATGCAATTATATATTATTCGGATTTTGCGCGCCTTGCGCCACTTTTTCTCTCTGTCTTTCTCTCTTTCTTTGCCGCACCGTTTCCAGTATACCGAGACACGAATGCACACACAGATGCAATAATGAAAACGACGATTGCCCACTTGGTTAAAAACGTCGCGGCGGTGTCGGTGGAGCTCGCACCGAATAAGAGAATAAGAACACACGAACGCGCGCCACAACTGCAGTAGCAGCAGCAGCAGCCGCACCAGAGCACCGCGTCGTCTATCTCTCAGCTCCTTCGTCTCGCCTCGAGTTCTTGAATATTTCACAATCGTTCCAGTTTTGTCAGCGAAACGATTAGCTACGATTACACGTATACACACACGCGCGCACGCGAAAAGTTTGGCACTTTTTTTTCTTGTCGCGCCACGCGACCCGAGTTGTACAGCAGTTTGTGTGTATGTACGTGTCTGTTTTGTTGTTTTTTTAATGACATGCAAACAATTATAAAGAGCCATTTGACAGCTGCCTTGCATTCTGGGCTCACAATGCTCGCACTCGCGCGCGCGGGTGAAAATTCATTTATACCGACGCGGCTGCGCCGAGCTCGCACGATTAAAATCACAGCGTGACATAATAATAATAATAAAAATAATAATAATGATAATAATAAAAAGCGTTGACGTGACCTGAAAATCAGAATGCATGCGAGATTATTCGTTAAACTGGCACACTTGCGCGCCTTTTTCGCGCGTTAATTAAACGAGACTCGCTCGCTGTAACGTATACGTATATAGAACCGAAAATTTTTTGGGCATACAAAAATGCGTGAAATAATGGACGGCTCGGGAGAATAATTACTGCGCGTGCGAGGCGAAATTAGGCACGTTTACATGTGCGCGTGTGCGCTATATAAGTCGATTGACCGAAAAGCAGTAGAAAAAAAGTGCATATATAGGTACAATATCGCATGGCAGTTTTTTTTTGCATTTTTTTTACAAAACAGTAGCCAGCCATAGGGCGATAATGCCTCGTGGCGTGCAAGTATATAAGATCATTATCGCGTCAATGGGACTTTTCCATAAGACGTACGGCATATACGTATAATAATGTAATAGGTCCCCGCGCCGCTGCCACCGCGCACATGTAGTATACGTATGTATGTATGTATGTAGTACCACTGGTGTATATAGAGTAGTAGCTCTACTTGTTACCGTTGTTATGAGTTACGCAATGTATATCCATACGTACGTACATGCACATACGTGTGTGTGTATACGTGTGCACATGCAAAATTGCACATGTGTAAAAGTGAGCGCGAAGCTTTCGAAAAAAAAAAACAGGAAAAAAAAATTTCACGTGTATAAAAACAAAAGTGTAACAGGGCATTATGCGGTGCACGACAAAACAGAGAGAGAGAGAGAAAGATTATCGCCGTGATCTTTTCGGTACGAAGTATGGAAAATCGTTCGTTATCTGCTGCAATGGGCTGCTGCGCTCATACACGAGCTGTTGTAACGCTGGGCGCCCCAAAGATCTCCGCCATATACTTAAGCTCGAAACATAAAGCTTGAAACTAGGCGCTATATATATTGAGATTATGAGTGTCTCGCGTGTAAAGCAGCAGCAACCACCCACCCACGCGCTTTCTCACTACCTTATAATACACTGGACGACGGAAGTGTTTTCCATTTATACAAACGTCATAGCGAGCAATACTCGATTTTTCAAAATTCGACGCCAATTGCGAATATGAAATGTTCGAATCACGATGTAAGACGTCGAGAGTCGTGATTTTATCAAAACTCATTGGCAACACTATACACGTCGAGTTTGATAGTCTCGCGCACGAGTCCGTGGCTGCATATACAAGCACATGCACTTACACACACACACACACACTGTCGTCGGGCATGTGTACATAAAATAAATACTACTAATTGAGTCGCGCTCGCACGACGAGAGAACGTCGTCTCATGTATATTTATACGGATATATACGTATGTGCCGAAAAAGTCTCACACACACACATCTATGTGTAAGTATATATAATAAGTATATATGTGAGTCTGCGAGTTGGCAATATATGCGCGACTACGTCGTTTAAACCTCGTTACGTACGGCTTGTCCGTCACTTTGGTGCCGTATTTTTTTTCTCCTCCATCTTTTCAAGCTGTGCGCGCGCGCCTGCTAATAAGCGCAAAATTCACTCTGATTTTCGAATGAGATTATTATATTCCCTTAAGTGAAATTCTATCCACGACTCGCGCGACTCTTGGGCCGATTAAACGTGATTTCCATACTTTATTCGGCTCTGATTTGCTCCGTCGTATATACGCAGAACACAGTTACACACACACACACACACACGTACAAACACGCAAGATACGAACAAATGATAATTGAAAATTTGTGTGCATGAAATCTTATTAAAATTTTGTTCCAATATGTTTTTTTTCTCTTTTTTTTTACACTTACTATTGCGTGCGTGTGCACGCGCGCGCGCGCACTTGTGCGAGGAAAAGCAAGTGTCAAATTGGGAGTTTCATAACCGGATTACGGTCGCGAGAAATGTTTTTTTTCGTC